CCTGTTATATTACTTTCCTAGCACGTTATGTTCTTCTTTCAGCATGTTATATTGTCTGTTCTCTTTATTATACAGTGTATTGTTATTATTATTTCATACTGCATGCTTAGTTATTTTGATATGATATGCCTTAGTTTAAAAATAACCTAGTGGTTAAGAGCATGTTCAAAACTAAAACTAAACCAGAAGGTGCTACTACGAGGAGTTTGGAGCGAACATCGTGGGCAGCGCGACGAGGAACAATTTCCAAGTGGATCTGCAGCAACGAAACATCTTCACATCACATGAACACATTCACATCACCTATTATTATCTTTAGTTTAAATAACAACCCATAGGATCATTTCTTTGGGCTTTTTGCACAACTCTGTTGTGTAATTATAAGTCCTAACGCATTAGGATTCCGAGCTTTCCGTTCGGTACGGTGTAAATCCTCCTGTCTTTTAGGCTATTTGCACAGTCTGACGTTGTGCAAACATAAGTCCTAAATCTTAAATAATTTGCAGGATTGAAATATCAAATAAATATCATTTCAAAGACATAAAGCCGAACAATAGGATAGTTGGGGCATCTCCGGGGTTTCTCCTGGATCTGTGATATCCCCTACTTTTCTTCCCTTTGGATTCCTTAAATAATTGTTCATATTTTGAGTCATTCCTATTTGATTTTCCCATGTTCAATCGTGAAAACCTAAACTTTGAAATCTTGAAAGCAAAACCACCTGATCTTAATCGAAAGTTTTCTTAAGTGATTTCGATCATTTAAGATGTAATTAACTACAGGGGCTTGCCTCTATAGAGAACCAGGAACCCAGATAAAATAAACCCTATCTAATTTTTATATTAGATAGGGGAACTTGTTGGCCTTTTTATAAAATATTTCGCAGATCAAAACGAATGTCACAATTTTTTTAGTCTAGGTGATTGAATCCCTATTACAAATGATATATTTATTCTTCGATATAAGTGTATTACTTGTAGTATTGTATTCAATCATCTAAACTATTTAAAAAGTGAGACTCGTTTGGTCTCACCTATTTTAAAATTAAAATGTTTTTTTTTTTTAAATAAAAAGGATCATATTCATATTTCAATTATTTTGAAAATCACAAAATTATTATTTTTTTTTTTAAATCATAAAGTTATTTGAAGTAATAAAGTTAAATTAAATAAAAGATTTTTAAAAGAAAGAAATAAAAAAAAAATAAAAAACGGCCGACAGCATGGTACCACAAAGATTTACTAAAGTGTGCATGTAAAGGTTGAGCTTGTGACAACAACAAAAGTGAGATTGACAAATTATGTACGTTCAGAGCATTTATCAGGCAAGAATTGTTATTTCAAAAATTTCATGGTAACACGTGAACAAATTCATATGGCTTCAAACCATCTTTTTTCTTTTTTTTGAAATTTCGTGATGAGCACTACCATTGTCGAGTCCCAAATCCCAAATATAAAAAATTGAGAATTGTCTAAATGGTTGACAGCCAACATAAAATTTTTTTGTCAAAAAATTATGACATCTTTTAAATCATGGTGCCAATGCAAAGGTCTCTCTCCTTGAAGCCTTTATCCCACTAAATAGGGCCGGCTACATGAATCATTTTTCTTCATTGTGTTCAATTGAGTGTCATATTTTCATTTAATTCTAATAAATTAAGATCATTTTTTGTACATTGTACAATATACTTTTGTACAATATACCCAAGTCTTTCTAGGTCTACCTATGCCTTTCTTAACATAAGTCGAATCTAAAACATCTACCCTTCGAAACAGATTATCAGAGGGTCGACGTTTAATGTAACCAAACCCTATCAATAGATATATTCATTTCGCATTTTGTCTCTAAGTGTAAAGCCATTCATCTGCCTAAGCATTCTCATCTCAACAACACTTAACTTAGTTTTATGCTTCTCTTTTAAAGGTCAAAAATCAGCGCCACTGAGCATTGCAGGTCTCACCGCCATCTTATTAAATTTTCCTTTCAGTCTAAGCGTTCAGTCTAAGCGGTATGTCTAAGCGGTATTTTTCTATCACACAATAGACCAGAAGCATTCCTCCACTTTAACCAACCAACTTGAATTCTACTAAAAATATCCCCATCTGTATCACCATCTCTTTGAACAATAAACCCGAGATATCTAAAGCGTACACACTTTTAATAATTTGATCACCTATAATTACAACTCTATCGCTAGAGGTGCTACTACTAAAATTACATTCCATGTACTCCGTTTTAGTTCTACTCAAACGAAGGCCTCTAGACTCCAATGTAGTCCTCCATAATGCATGTTTTTTCTGAGCTTTCTTTCTAGTCTTATCAATAAGAAGAATATCATCAACAAAAAGTATACACCAAGGTGCATCCGTCTGTAAATGTCCAATAAGAGCATCCATAATAAAAGCAAAAAGATATGGTTTACAGTCGATCCCTGATGTACTCCAACTAAAATAGAAAAATATTTGGTCAATCCTCCTGTTCGAACACAAGTAACAGCTCTAGAATACATATCTTTAATGACTTGAATAAAATTCATATCAACATCATTCTTCTCTAAAACTGTCCAAAATATATCTCTTGGAACCTAATCGTAAGCTTTTTTTTAATCAATAAAAATCATATATATATCCTCCTTATTCTCTCTGTACTTCTCCATCAAACCTCTCAATAAATATATAGCTTCCATAGTAGATCTACCGAGCATAAATCCAAAATGAATATGAGAAATATTAGAAATTTTTATAATATGTCTTAACCTATGTTCAATTACCCTCTCCTATAATTTTAAATTATGACACATCAACTTAATTTCTTTATAATTTGCACTCTTGTGAATCCCCTTTATTCTTAAAAATGGGGACTAAAATACCACTCCTTAAACATGTTTTTAGTTTTTTAATAAATATTAAAGAGTTTAGTAAGCCAAGAAATTCTCATATCCCTTAGATATTTCCATACTCGATTGAAATAAGATCAGGTCCTACAAACTTTCCACCCTTAGTTTTCTTTAAAACATCCTTAACTTCATTTTTACTAATGCGGCGGTAAAAATTAAATATTTTATTATTATTAACAATATTAAGACCACTAAAATCGATCGTATTTTAAAAAACTTCATTTAAAAGTTTATCAAAAAAACTCACCCACCTATGTTGAACTTCTCTTTTTAAGAGCAGCACTTTTTATTTTCATCTTTAATACACTTCACTTTAGTTAAATTTTTTACATTTCTTTTCTCTTTGTTTAGCTAGTTTATATGTATATTTTTCACAGCCTTTAGTATCTAATCTATTATAAAGATCACTAAAAGCAAAATTTTTAGCGTCACAGATTGTTCTCTTAAACTCTTTACGAGTCATTTAATATTTTTCTCAGTTCTATAAGTTTTTACATTTAAATCAATTTTTATAACATAACTTTTTATATTTTATCTTTTCTTGCACATTATTATTCCAACACCAACTATTATTATTTATAAAAAATTTTTCGTTTGATTCTCCACGTATATTTTTTGTCACTTGTTTAATAATGTTTATTACATTATCTCACATAAAATTTGCTTCTTCATGAACATCCCAAATCTTGAAATCTTGAAGTTTACTCATAAAAATAATTTTATTTGTGTCTTTTAGGTGACCTCACCTAATTCTATAATAATGATTTCTAGTATTTCTTATTCTACAACTATTCATATTAAAATTCCGAACTAATAATTGATGTTGAGTACATAAATCCTCACCTTGAATGACCTTACAATCTTTATATTCTCGGCGATCTTTCCTTATCATAAAAAATAATTAATTTTTGTTTTATTAGATCCATTCTCATAAGTAATAATATGCTCAGCTCTTTTCTTGAATAAAGTATTAAGAATAACAAAATCATACACTAAATCAAAATCTGAAATGGCTCAACTTTTTCATTAATCATTCCAAAATCGTAGCCGCCAAGAATATTTCTAAAGTCTTATGTCACTCTACCGACATGTCCATTTAATTCTCCTCCTATAAAAATTCTTTCTTCAAGAGGTATCATTTGTATTTGTATGAAGTTTTCTAGGTCATTCCATAATTTTTCTTTAGAACCTATATGTAAACCTACTGAAAGAGCCTAAGCACTTATAATATCAAAAAACTTAGTATAAATAATATTCTTAAGGGCAAAGCATTACTCTTTGATAAAGAGCAGGGAAATTTCCAAAGCTAGCGTAATCATGTGGTAAGTGCTCAAATTCATGCATGAATCAAACAACATAATAATAAAAGAAAAGAATAGCAACGAAATAATAGTTGGACAAACAAAACCAAGAAACACTTATTGCAGAAGTTAAACATTTCGTAATAGACATCTTTGTATACCTTCCTGCCACCCTACTAAAGAACATTGTTTATGGTGTGGTCGCAAACTTCTAATTCAGTTCAATCACCATACAGGAGACTGTAATTAGTTGATATTGCGTTACTTTTACTGCTCAACTATCGCTAGAAGCTAGAAAATAAAATTTGAAAAAAGGATAAAGTTGTTAAATCGCTTGTTTGGTTGAATTTAATTAGAGATTAACATTAATTTCAAACACCACAAACCTTCTCAAATTTCCTTCATATATAGTGATTTTATTTTCATACAAAAACTGAGCGAAAATTAAATTGTCATTTTCTAAAACATGTTTTCCGTTTGCGAGAAATTAAAAGAACTATTAGAAACTTCACCAGTCCATTACTTGGTTTACTTAATGAAAAACAAAAAACTCAAAAACATTTCAAAAGGCCTGCACTAGCGGAGTTTCCATGCCTATTCAACAAACTGACCGATTCGCAAAACATTAACTCGACTAAACGGAGACCTAGCAAATTAAGCAGAACAATCCTGAGAAAAGGAATTTTAATTATTCAAAAGCAAACAGAAAAAAGCGAACCAAAACACCAAAAGCAATAGTTAACCCACATTGACATTATAACACTAGTCGGGGAAGATGGAAAGGAATGCACTAGGAAAAGGACCTGAATGGCGATAGCATCCGGGTCGAGAGTTTGGACTAGGTTGGAGAATTCTGGCCAGTCCTTCTTAATGCGGAGGAGGAGGCTGTTGGCGTTCCAAGTTAGGAACTTGCAAGGCTCTCGCCTCTGTATTTCGCATGCTTCAACGGTGGGAGAGACCTCGACGAAAACTGAGTTGCTGCTGGAGGAAAGAGGGGGATCGGTGAAGGAGATAGAGGGCTTCTTGAAAGAGCCGTCCTTCTCCACTGGTTGAAAAAAACGCTTCATGACGAGGGAGTGTTGCGTTCCCGTTGGTTCCTTGACTCCTTGCTAGGTGAAAACAGTACATAAATTCGCCCTATTTACTATTTCTTCCTCCGGTGAACTGTGGGATGCGCGAAGAAAAATACACATATAATTGATGCAGAACCTCCTGAAACAATGTAAATATCTTCTCCCTTAACCAAGGGATGCGCGAAAAATGTAACGGGAGTCCTCCAAGGAGGAGGTTCTAAAATCGCAAATTCAATTATATTAATATATATATATATATATATATGTCAAAACGATCTTGTAATATACTAGCATAAATCTTAAAGCAATGAGACGATGTCAGACAATCTAAGCATCAAGCTGATGGAGCATGGTCTGAATTAACACCGTTCGACGATCGGCAGACCCATGTGTTGAGGGATTCAATCAACGGATTGTACTTATGATCTCAGCTACCAAACTTTTTTCAAGTGTGCCCGATCACAACTAGTCGATCGACAAGTTGTCTTGGCAAAAGCTATTGTCACGCAACCGGTCGCCCTGGTAGACCAAACTAAATGCATCAATTCACTAATGCCAATTCTATAACACTTAAATGGCAACATGAATCTTGTAATAAATTAGCACATTAACTGCATTAAGGGTAGTTTTCGTAATCATTCCCTCTTTTCTGTAATAATAAAAAAAAACTCGTTAAATAAGAGGTCCAAAGATGAATAAAAAGACTTTTCCCCTTGACTCGTCTCTCAATAATTCTCTGTTGGCTCCACTCTCCCTCTCCTTTTCTCTTTCTCCTGGCTTCAACTCTCGGTGTGTGTTTTATTTGAAGGACAATTTAGGATTCAACATTCTAAAAAGGTGGTTTAGTAAGCGTGGGCATGCCCCAGACAAGAAGCGAAACAATTTACGAAGAGAAATTTCACTGAGATATGCAACTTCCATGGAACTCAATAGAGAAACGGTGCAGTGAGACATCTTGGAAGTGGTTCATGCTCTTAGGGCCCAGATGATGGACCAATTCAAAGCCCTCCGAGCAATGATGACCCAGAGGAATGATTAGCAGCCGCTCTTAGAAGGAGAGTCTCAGGAAACTTATCCCCTGATAATTTCTCGTGAGAATCAGCCCGCGCATAACATTCAGGCTGTCGAAAGATCGACCAAAGAGCATGGTGACTCCCAACTCACAGAAACTACGGTGTCTACATCGATAGTCAGGCACCGCACAGATCGAGTATGCACAACCGCCCGGTCGACTGCAGGCAGTGCTTTCTTCCGTCTGATCCTTGAAACTATAACCCCGGTGAAAATGATGATTCCACTTACGGATCCCTAGAGGGGGAAGAGCAACTCGACTGGCCACATGGCTTCGTTCAAATCATCGGTGAGAGTCTTAATAATTGATGACATGACGAAGTGTTAGCTTTTTCTTACCACGTTGAAGGAGGCTGCTCTTCGGTGGTTCAATTGTCTACCAAATGGAATCATTCCATCATTCAATGTGTTTAGAAGACTCAACATACAAAAGATGAGGAAAGACACTGAGACACTGCTCTATACCACGCAGGGAGAGAATGAAAGCCTATGAGTCTACATCGCTCGCTTCAAGAAGGAAATGCTGGAAGTAAAAAAATATGGAGCCTCTCATCTCCAGATCTTCTTGAAGTAGGGAATCTGCAGCCAATGATTCGGGTATGATTTGAACTTGCTCAAACCAAAATCTTTCGCCCTGGTCCTAGAACTAGCCAATGACCATATAATCATCAAGGAGGGCCTTATAAAATCATCAAGAAATAGATCGGAGTCATCCGACCATCGGGTACAGAAGTGGAAGGACTGTGATGATGAGAAAAAGGGGCAGTTGGACCACTAATGGCCGACAAAACGGCAACCCTTGGTCTAGGTGACCCGACACGCAATTACGCAGTTATTTAAATTCCCAAAAGATTACCAAAAACTTGACCCAATTTATATTTAGCGGCTAGTGTGACGTATTGTTTCAATTAATATAGGTCTTTCATTAAAGGCCTCGGTATCAATCCCACAGAAAAGCGAGGTAAGAATTCCCTTAGGCTAATTTCAGTCTACTAATATCAGGTTTTAGTTTGGAATTTTCAAAAAGTTTGGTTTTCCTAAATTTACTAATTTACTATAAAATTATAATTAACTAAATTACATAAAATTTGGAAAGTTTTTATATAATTAAAATCCCTTTCCCCTTGCGATTAGATTATAATCAATGTATGAATTAAATGTTTAAAAATTAAAATATTGTATTGTGATAAATAGAAGCATACCTGCTTCTTTACCCTCTCCCGAGTGCATAAAGAACATTGACTAATCTAAAATAAATTCCAACTTGTGTGGTAGTGTTGATTAGATTCTAGCATGCCACTTCTAGATTACCGACCCTTAATTCCAACTTTAGATCAAATTATTAAAGGATCTAGTCTATCACCCTAAAAACACCAATTCTACGTCCATCAAGACTTTTCTCCTTATCTATTTGCATTATTCTGATATTTTGGTTCCCCTCCTTATGAGGTTAGTGTGATACTCACTAGTTGGGTGAAATCATAGCCCTCTCGGGTCCTTATGTTTCACAACAAATTTTAATATTACAAGTGACCAGTTTGCAAAGCAAATTAAGAACTGGTGAAAATACCATCCAATTTTAGAATAAGTAAAATCTTCAAACCATTCTAATCCCACATAGGAGAATGATTAAGGAAAATTACTCACTAAGCATGGAGAAAACACAACAGAAAACTCCATTTAAATCAAAGCAATTATAAGATAATGAAAAACATAATAAATAATTATAAGATAATGAAAAACACAATACTTAGTTCTTTTTTCCTATGAAAGAAAGATGAAAATTCCTCTACCAAAGTCTTCTACTAATCTACGCAATGCTCATACAAATCCTTACAGATATCTCTCAAAATTCATCACCAATCTCTCTAGAAAAAGGTAGAAATCTAAGTTTTCTACTCTTATCTATGACCTATTCTTGGAGTTTCCAAGAGTTTGAAATGTCAAAATATGCCTTCCTACGTGCGAAATGGGGCTTAAAAACTCCCAAAATCAAGCAATAACCTTCTGAAACGATTACTGGTGCTATGGCGCCAGAATCAGCGCTGTGGTGCTTGTTTATCGGCGGGCGCGATAGCGCCAACTTGAGCATTATGGTGCCAGTTCAAAAGTTGGGGTAGAACCAATTCACTCTGCTTCTCCCCATTTTAGCTCAAATCTTGCTCCAACAAAATGGGCCTGATCAGAATTTTCTTCCTTGCTCGATTTGGCTCCAAATTGCACCGGTTTTACTCTATTTTCTCCAAAAATCCATTTATTTTATTTGGAACCAAAATCATGCAAAATATCTTTCATTATAGTGCAATATTATAAAAAATTTACAAAAAATGAGCATTGAATGTATATTTAAAACATGTAATTTTAAGGTGTATCACTGGGATGTAATCGTAAGCATCACACTGAATAGCAGTCGGTCCATTACTATGAGTGACGCAAATTTATCAAAAAAAGTTGGATTTGATACTCCTGAATATGTTGATGGTCGAGCTAGTCCTGGCCATTCAAAACAATGACTACTTCAAAAAAAACCTCTCCATTGAAAACTACACCAGCCCTTCACAACTCGAACAAGTACTGCGTCTATTGATACACCTAAAATATATAGTATTTTTAGACACATTATAATATCTTTTTTTGAGATATTGTACTTTGATGGAAGGTATTTTTGTGTTTTTCATTCAGATACAGGTAAAAAGGGTGAAAAATGCTTAAAGGAGTGAAAAATGATCAAATTTGGAGCAAAAGGTGAAAAATGTGCAAAAGAGTTTTTGCGCCTAAGCGCCAGATCCGGTGCTTACGTGTCGGTTAAACAGAGAAAGTCATGCCTAAGCACTAAAGGCCCCGTTCTTAAGCATCAGTGGCTATTATTGGACGAGTAAATTCAGTTTCTGCAAATTTTGAAGAGGTTTTTGAGGCACTCATTGCTTTTGAGGCACTTTTGAAGAGGTTTTTGAGGCACTCATTGCCTTAATAGGTGGTTATACCCACCATGGACAAAAATTATCATGAAAAGATACATCTCTTGGGGAAATACATCTAATCTAGAAATATTTTGAAGAGAAACCAATGCACCTTTTGGAAAATTATAAAAGAAAGAAGAGATGACTTAGAAAAGAGTCCTGAAAGTATTGGAAAGTTTTAAAAGTTCTCATTTGGGGAGTTAGTTCAGAGAGATTTTCAGACACCACTTTTACTTTTATTTTATCTTTTTGTTATTTTATTTTGAGTGATTGTAATGAGAAGAAAATCAAAGGAACTTCAAGAGTTTGGTGGAGGACTTGAGATAAGTTTCTATTTTTTTGTTTTGAGACTACTTTTAGTTTTAATTGAGACTTGTTTTTGGATTCACAATAATTTCTTCTTTTAAACTAAAGTGTGATTTTGTTTTCTCCATGGATTCTGAGTAGTTTTCTTTATTTTTCTTCTTAAAATGATAAGTAGTTAAGTTTTGGATGGAAGATTTGGAAAGTATTGATCTTCAATGATGGAAGAAGTTATGATGATTTAAATCCATGCACTTCATTTACTTCTTGATTTGGCCAATCCAGATGTTAAAATTTGTTGTAAGAACATGTAAGAACCGGGTTGGTATTGTCTAAGTTAAAAACTGGAAAGAATCAGAAATATTCATTGAAGGGTGTAGAGTTAGAGGACTTTAAAGTGACAGGTTAAAGCCCCCAACTTGGTTTATTGTTTTAGGTTCTGATACGAGATGTTAGCCCCCAGGTGGAGGGAATCGAGGGAACTCTAGAGTAAGAGCTAGTATCTTCCCTGCCTAGTTGGTCTTCAGAACTATTCAAACTTTAAATTAGTCAATATTCTTTATAGCATCTTTAGTAAGGGTAAAGAATATTATTGTTCCTATTTGGTACAACACAATTTGCATACTTCCACAACAGAATTTCTATACTTATTACTGATTCATAACAAGAAGAAATATATTTTCATATTTAGTGCTTTCTTCTACAAAAACTCTACTTATATTTTTAAATTATTATTGTTCTATCAAAATATTAAAAATACCAAAAATATTTAAATTTTCATTGCTGCAAAAATCATCTTTAGTTTGGATAATTATCTTTTTATTAAAAATAGAAAAATTGTTGTTCAATAGTGCATATTGTGTATTATTGTCTCC